TCTGCCTCCTGAGTGCTGGGATTAAAGGCATGTGCCACCACACCTGGCTTCTTTTTTTTATTTTTAATTTACTATTTAAGAAATATTATTTTTTAAAGTTTATGTATATGAGTATATTGTCTACATGTGTGTAAGTGAACCCCTGCTGTGCAATGCCCAAGGAGGTCAGAAGAGGGCATTGAATTTCCCTAGAACTGGAGTTATGGTCAGTTGTTAGCTACCATGTGGGTACTAGGAATAGAACCTGGGTCCTCTTCAAGAGCAGCCAGTGATCTTAACCCCCGAGTCACCTCTCCAGCCCCTCCATATTTCTAACAAGCTCCCCAGTGATGCTAATGCTGCCAGTTCATTGACCACATTCCAAGTACAGTGCATCACAAAGTTATGCAGAGGTGGCTGTGCTGGGCTGTCCTCTCTGTAGACAATGATGGTGTGGTTTGGGGACTAGGGACTGGTTAAGGAGTCAGGAGACCTGAGTCATAACCTCTTCCTCCGCCCCCAACACACACACACACACACACACACACACACACATAATCTATGCCTTGTTAGTTCCATATAGCTTGGATAAGTCACTTAACTTCTTTGAGGGATGATCTTGAAAACCTCTCCTCCAGGAGTTCTGGTGCAAGGTTTGAAAGAAAGGGTGTCCTATGGCAATGTCTTGGTTCTGGGTCTGGGTCATGGCAGCCAGAGGGGCAGCAGCTCACTGGCCTGACCAGCATAGCAGGTGTGATGAACTGAAGCTAATAGAGGTGGGTGAGGTGAAGGGACACCATGTCAGCTTGACAGTTACTCTTGTTATAGCCCTAGTTTTTCTTTGCTGAGGCTGCAGCCTCCTGCCTTCACTTCTCCAGCCCCACCTGGAAAGCTGGAAGGACCAGTCTGGCTAGGGTAAGGAGTAGCTTTGGCATGGCCTAAGGCCTGAATCTGGGTCTGAGGGCCTAACTGGCTGACTTCCATTCTGAAGTTAGGGGTTGAGAACTGTGGCCTGGAGACTCTGGGGTCAGGCTGTGGGCCTCACCTGCCAGAACTATGGACAGACATCCTATTGTGGGTGTGGGGGGGAGGATTTGGAGTGGTACCTTAAGCTATAGGGAGACCCTGACTTAGTGTCTGGCCCCAGTACTAGTGCTGAATAGAAAGCTTTAGGTACTTGAAGTGCTCCTACACCTGACTCTCTGCAAATCAGCCACAATGGCTCAGCAAGCCCCATCCCAATCCCTAGGACCAGGAGGCCACAGGACAACTAGTCCCAATTCTCAAATGGAAAATACTTCCTTTAGGACTGTCATCCATTAAACAGAGGGATTCTGGAATTGGTATATCAGGAGGCTGCTCCCCTGTCTACCCCATTCTGTTTCCACAGTAAATCTTTCCATTTGTTGCTGCCAAGGATTCTGGATGTGAGTCACACAGACCTGGGCTTGAACCTCAGGTTCTCTCCTTATAGGTGTGAGTCCCTGGACAAATCACTCCATTTCCCTGAGCATCCACTGGCTCATCTGTAAACAGGAGTAATGACACCTGCTCCGCCAGCCTCACAGGGTTGTTGTGAAGATTAAATAAGCCATGCCCATGAGTGCTCATGGTCATTACCATGAGTCATGGCATTTCTTAGAGGCACAGGCATCAAGGCATTGTCTTACCCTGAGCCCTTATTTTTACAGGTGTAGAGCCTAGCAGTTGGAGAAGCCAGCCATCTGCCCAAGGGTCCCACGGCGGGTCGGTGGGCCAGCCAAGCCTAGTAGGCCCACTCCTGGAGCTCCCTGCATCCCACAGCTGCCACTGGACAGAGGTGCTCCCTCTCCAAGCCTAGGCACCCCATCTGTTGGCCAGCAGCAGCCATGAACTATGTGGGGCAGCTGGCAGAGACAGTGTTTGGGACAGTGAAGGAGCTGTACCGTGGCCTGAACCCCGCCACCCTGACTGGTGGTATAGATGTTCTGGTGGTGAAGCAGGCAGATGGCTCCTTCCGGTGCTCACCCTTCCATGTGCGGTTTGGTAAGCTGGGTGTCCTGCGGTCACGGGAGAAAGTGGTGAGTGCTCTGGTGGGCTTTTGAAGGTTGGATAGTCATTGCTGGCCCAGAGAAGGACTTGGTCTCCCTAAGGTTGAGGGGGTGGGTGTCTGTCCTGTTTTCCTTCCTTTGTATTTTCATTAATTTTTTTTCTTAAAAAAAATTTATTACATTTGTGTGTGTGTGTGTGTGTGTGTGTGTGTGTGTGTGTGT